ATTTCTTAAAACCACACTCATGTATCTAGTCTTGGTCAACTCTGGTTTCCTGAATTAAAATCCATGCACTACCAAGAATGTGTTGCTTTCTCTTGTATTTTTAGAGCCTAGCACAGTACATGCTGCCTTAAAAAAAGTTCTCAGATTTTTCTGGAATGAATTAATGAATTATAGGCATCTATGTGGCTCTAAGCACCAAAAATCACAGAAGGAAAATGCAAAGTGGGAGCAGCAATCTTTTGTAACCTGTTTCCTAATGATTCTGTAGGATTTACAACCAAGTCTGATAAACAGAAGGCACTCAGCAAATATTTGTGGATAATGAGTAAACTAGGTAGGCTAATGTTTAAAAAAATATCATAATAGAGTGTATTAATAGGTCACAAAAATATAAAAGGAAAACCCCCCAGCACTAGGGAGGCAAAGGCAGGCAGAACTCTGTGAATTCGAGGCTAGCCTGACTTACACAGAAAGTTCCAAGCAAGGCAGACTGGTACACTGAGACTCTTTCTGTTAGTCTGTCTAGTTGGTCTGTCTCTGTCTCTGTCTCTCTGTCTCTCTGTCTCTGTCTCTGTCTCTCTCTCTCTCTCTCTATATATATATATGAAAGAATGAAGGAAATAATTATCTCCATGAACAATGGAAGAGCATTTAACAAAATGCAGTATATATTCATAGTTTTAAAGAACACAAAAACTTAAATGCAGTTTTTTGTTGCTATTCTTTGTGACAGAATCTTGCTAGGCAGCCCAGGCTGGCCTAGAACTTACTATGTAGCCCTGGGCCTGAACTCCTTATCATCCTGCCTCAGTCTCCCAACTGCTCAGACTACAGGCATGTGCCCTGTCTGGTTTAAATGTAATATATTTTTTAATAGAACAATTGGCAAATAATCAGGCAAGAATGTCGTTCACTGGGAAGCACCATTTGAGGTGTTCTCATTGAAGTCCGGAGCTACACAGGGACTAACATCATTATTTAATAGTGACCCCTAAATTCTCATGGGTATAGTAAGACATGGAGAAAAACTAACAGCCATTAACAGTCATAGCTATTAGAAAGGAGGCACTGTTGTCATTTGCAGATAACTAAAGCTATCTACCTACCAAAGTGAAAACAATATATATATATTTTATAAAATACTCAACTCATTAGCTGTTCTATATGCCAGCAATGAGTAATCAGAAGATAACAGAAAAAAATTTCATTTACAATTCCACCATGAAATTCTTAAACTAAAAAAATCTGATGTACCTGAAGAAACTAGCAGTTTTAAAAAGAGGGTCTGAATAAAGAGATGAATCATGTTCCCCAAAGATGACTTAATTTTATAGAGGCTTACTTACTAAAATTTGGCATATAATTATGGTGAAATATCAGTTACTCAAAATCATGTTTAAAGAACTGCACATGGTGGAACATGCTTGTAATTCCAGCACTGGGGAGGTGGAAGACAAGGAGTTCAATGTCATCTTTGGCTACAAGAGAGAGTTTGATGCTTACCTTGCATACAAAGGGCCCTGTCTCAAACAAACAAATAACAACAATAAAATCATATTTAAAATAATTTAAAATGCCATGGGAAAATGCCACCATATACTGTTAAATGAAAATCCAGGATAAAAACCATAAATAAAGGGCTGAGGCTCTAGCTCAGTGGTAGAGCATATGCTTATAATGCACAAGGCCCCTGGGTTCAATCCTCAGGACCATAGTCCTCCCACAAAACACTCCACAAAAAGTATGGATAAGGATCCCACTTATATGAAACTATAAATAAAATAGAAGGATATATATACATACACACACACACACATATATATATATATATGTGTGTGTGTGCGTGCGTGTGTGTGTGTGCGTGTGTTTGTGCATGAGAGAGAGAGAGAGAAAATGTGTATGTGTGTGTGCGTGTGTGTGTGTGTGCGCTCATGTAAATGCCAATGCCTCCAGAGTCCAAAGAGGGCATCAGAGTCCCTGGAGCTGGAGTTACAATTGTTGTGATCCACAGACATGGGTGCTGGGAACTGAAATCAGGTCCTCTGCAAGAGCAGTACGTGCTCTTAACCACTGAGCCACCTCTCCAGTTCTATATATAATTTTAATTTGATATTTCAAATATTTCTGATGACACAAATTAGACACAATTAAAATATATTAAATTTATAATCAGAAAAATATTTTAAAGATGTTAAATACCAATATCTAGATACTATATATTTACATTAAAATCGGGCCTGCCCATCATTGCAGTGTATTATTTTCTGTGAGTTCTAGAGGTTGAACTCAGGTTGTCAGACTTTGCAGCAAATGCTTTTGTTAATTGAAACTTCTCTCTGACCCTATTTTCCTTTTGTTGTTGTTTTTGTTTTGTTTTGGAAACAGGGTCTGTGTCAACCAGGCTGGCCTTGAACTCACATAGCTGAGAATGACCTTGAATTCCTGATCCTCTTGCCTCTCCTCCAAGTGCTGAGATCACAGGTGTGTGCTACCACACCCAGTTTATATCGTGCTTGGGACGGAATGTAGGATTCTGTGAATGTCAACTGAGGTACATACATCCCCAGTGTAGTGCTGTTTTGCCGTCCTCTGTGCAATGACACAGAGATACTGATTTACTTTCTGTCTTAGTTACCTGCAGCAGAAGCCAGTAGCTAAGTTTACTTAGCATTTCAGAACCAGCTTTTAAGGCTTCCAAAATCCATGATTAAAGAAATGAGTAATAATCCCAAACTAGAAAACCATTCAGTACAAATTAATAGTGCCAAGGGCAGAGACCCTCACTAAACACAATTATGTGCAACCTATAGCCCCAAGCTAAATGCCAAGTTCTACTCATCCAAGGACTCAAGCAAGAGATAAGGCAAAGCATTTGATTTTGATTCATGTGGTCAGATAGATACGCTTTTCCATAGCAACCACAAAGCAGTCACAGCAGCAATCAAATGCCCATTTTCTCCTCTCCATGCCACAGCACAATTAGACGATAAACAAAGAACATCTTGCACGGAAAGTCAATGATTTGCATCAAACTGATAAAAAAACGAGAAAACAAAAACAGCAAAAAGAAGACCATGTTCCCTCTGATGAATGGACGCCTCCAGGGAACAGTGCTTATGTAGGACACAAATTAGTTTAAAAAAGAAAAAAAAGAATGCTTAGACAAGTAATTTAATGGATTTTGTAGCTCTTCAAAATAATATAATAAAAGGAGGGTAGCAGAAAATTCTACAACATAATAGCAGTTGAAAAATAACATTTATTCAACGACAAAGAAAAATGAAATTATGACATTTGCAGGAAAATAGGTGTAACTGGAAATTGCCACGTTAAGCAAAATATCTCAGACTCAGAAAGACACACACGTCAGGTTTTCTTTCACACGCACATTTTAGATTGTACTTTTTACACAGGTGAATATGTGTGTGTGTGTGTGTGTGTGTGTGTGTGTGTGTGTGTAGGGGGTACAGTCATGGAAAGAGAAAGGAGGAAAAGGAGGTCTTAAGGATGGGTCGGGGAGGGGAAAGCAGGAGGAAGGAGAGTAAAGAGACCAACAAGAGGGAATCAGGGACATGGTGGAGGGGAGGGAGAGATCACTGAAAATAAAGCATGTATGAAAATTCCTTAATTAAACCTATTACTTTGTATGCTAACTTAAAAAAAAAAAAAACTAAATAGGGCTAGGTAGATAATTTAGTCCGTAAAGTGCTTGCCATCTTGGCATGAGAACCTGAGTTTGATCTCCAGTCTCCAGAATCCATGTCAAAAGCATATGAAATTTAAAAAGCTCAATTTAAAAAAGGTTAAAAAAAAGTTGGACCTGATTACAATTGAAATAATTGCCAGGGAAGCAGAGACAGGCAGATTCCTGGGGCTTACTGGTCAGCTAGCCTACCTAATCTGTGAGCACTAGGCCAGTGAGATCCTGTCTCAAAAACAAAGGTCCAGCATAGATGTGGGGAAGTGGATAAGAACCCTAACCCTATCTGAGGAACTATTGGCAACTGATGATTCCTGTGAGGGGGAGAGTCAGTCTCTTTCAGGGATATAACTCTGGGTATATTAACCATGCTCCAGTGGATGGACCCACACTAAAGGATATTTGGGAACACAAATTAGCCTTTATAGGCCTCTATACACACAACACACACACACATGTGTGTATATATACATATATATCTACATATATAAAAAATAGAGTACATTAAATTGGGCAGGGAGCAGTAGGTCAAGGTGCAGATAAGTGGGATGGGATCTAAACACCACCAAAACATATTGTATGAAAATCACAAAAATTCAATTAAAATTTTGTTTAAAATGTAGATGGCACCTGAAGAATGACAACCACAGTTTTTGACCAGTGCCCTTGACACCTGTATACTCATGAGCATGCATATATACACAGACACACACACACACACACACACAAATTAAAAGAGAAAAAAAACTATCCATAAACCTCAATTACTTCAAGCATTTTACTAGCTCTTCCTACAATGATCAGTTCCACAGCAATGACATAATTGACAGTGACAATACTTGTAGTGTCAAGTAGCTTAAAGCTTTTCAGTATTGTAAAAGGAGACTGTATTTTCAATGCTGGTACAGATTCTTACCACCAACCAGTGATTTCTTAGGCTTAGCCTAAATGTTTTTGAGAAATGAGGCTAATATGTATGGCTGTTTCTTAAATACAGAGAGTAAAGAAGTATATGTTGGGGCTGGAGAGATGGCTCAGCGGTTAAGAGCACTGACTGCTCTTGCAGAGGACCCGGGTTTGATTCCCAGCACCCACATGTAGGCTATGAACCGTCCTTAACTCCAGTTCCAAGGGAATCCAACGCCCTCTTCTGACCTCTGCAGCATCGCACGGCACGGGTGCACTCACATACATGCAGGCAATACACTCATACACATAAAATAAAAATAATAAACAAAATGTAAAAAAAGAAGTAAATGTTTGTAGAATGAAAAACAACTGCATTCAGAAAGATACTCACTGTTTGAAGCAATATCAATCAAAAGAGTTTCTTCTGCTTCTGAGGGGAGAAAAAAAACCAAACAGAATCACAGAAAAGAAAAGCGCTTATTACCACTCAAAGCAGTATTTTATAACTAAATAACAGCTTTACTCAGTCACTCCTGAGTCTTAGAACACATTAAAAAAAATCTTTGTTTTTGTTTAGCATATTTTCTTGAGACAGTCTCAGTGTGTATCCCTGACTGACATGGAAATCACCTTACAGACCAGACTGGTCTTAAACTCACAGAGATTCACCTGCCTCGGCCTCCTGAGTGCCAGGGATTAAAGGAGTATGCTACCATGCCCAGTTATTAAGTATATTTTTAAGGCTCTGGGTTCTAAGGACCATGAGCAATTCAACTAAATGGAAAATGAACTGATGTAGGAACCATGTGGAGCTCCCTCAAAGAAAAGGCAGAAATGGCAAATTTAAAATAGGAATACAGTAACATCATGTACGTGAAGGCAAGTTTAGTTCTCTGTGTTCTTTAGATATTTCTTACACAAAGTCACGGAAGTGACCCAAAGCCTCAGAGCTGAATTATTTATTTTCTTAACTCATACAGTCTATGGGAACTTCTCAATGACCTCATTATGTCTGCTTTTACCTTGTGTAAGAATAGGGTATATCTAAAGTTCTTTGCTCTTGGGCTTCAATGAACACCTATAAATCCAAGATCTATTATATCCAATAAGAAGTATGAGACACTTGTGATTCCATCTTTATTAAGACTAGTCACAATAATCAAGACATGGAATCAACTAAAGTGACCACAGAGGGATAAAGGAAATTTAGTGTATAAAATACAATGAAATATTATTCAACCATAAAAAAAGAATAAAATCCCATCCTTTCGGCCATATGGATGGAACCGGAAGATATTATGTCAATTGAAATAAACCAAGCACAAAAGGACAAATACTTTTCTCTTTATGTGTGGAAGGTGATCTCATAGAAATGCAGAGTAAAACAATGGTTCCCAGAGGCTAGGATGGAGTAGTAGGTAGAGGATCCACAGAGGCTGATTAATGGATACCAAAGTACAGTTAGCTACAGGAGGACTAGGTCCTACTGTACCATAGCATAGTAGGGTGACTACAGTATACATCATATTATTATAGATCTGAAAATAACTAGGAGAGTTTGAAGGTTTCCAGCACAATGAAATGTCAATTTGAAATTTATATATATATATATATTTCAAGCTGTGATAGTACTTATTAACATGCAGAGATATTATGTGTCAATAAAAAATAGCACAAAGCAATTTGCAAGTTTGGGGTTTTGTTTTCTCACAATGGTCTTCCTGGACTTCCTCCTTTGCCCCTGGTGTCTAGACTCAACCTAACTTTTCCTCCTTTTCCTTTTTGCCTCTCTTGATTTGACCAAAGGCAACTGCCCTCTCCTGGCTAATTGAATCATACGTCCTGGCTCTTTAGAATTAACCTGGATCTACAATGGTCAAATGAATCATCCCATACTTTCTAGCTCCCTCACCAGACTAGATTCTATATCTGGCTCCACTATTCAGGTGCAAAAGCAGCAAATGGTAAGGAACTAAGTTGTCTAACATCAGAATGTAATCTCAATACTATTTGTAGCAGGGTTTGGTAAGGAGGATATAAGGACAAGGTCTACAGTCACCACTTTAGTTCCACAAAACTAGAGTGGTTAGTTTTCCAATTAGAGGCACAAGTAAGGAAATGGAAAGGAAGCAAAACCTCCATGACATAACATTTCAATTTGTCTTGGGGAATAACAATGTAAGACTGTACACATTTTCCACTGCAATCTAACAACTGACCATCTACTTCTTACTAAAAACAGCAAGAGTGTGAGACCTTAGAAGTAGGAGAAAAAAGCAAAAAGACCATAGGAAACCAAAGCCACATTATTTGACTCTTCTTTTTTTTGTGTAAGGGTACAACTTGAAAAGAGAAGTAAGCAGAGTAAACTACCACAGCATGACAGCATGACAGCATGCAGGTACCTTGTTTAATATGCACCCCCCCCCAAACAGGGCAGATACAACAGCTGACTTCTATACAGTATAGACATCATTCCTTGGAGGTATTTCAATTCAATTCACCCCTCCTTTCTTTCTTGTCCTTTTCCCCCAATCGCTTTTCCTTTCCTCCTTCTTCTTGCTTTTTTTTTTTTTTTTGAGACAGAGTCTATATAGCAAAGGTGGCCTAGAACTCACTCCGTAGCCCAGGTTAGCCTTGAACTTGCAATCCTCCAGTTTCAGCCTCCTCCTGGGATTACAGTTGTGAGCTACTACAGCTTGTCCAGTATTTTTAGTTCTTAATACATATTGTCTTTTCTTTTCATCGTACTGTCTTAAAAGTCATACACAGGGACTGTATTTACTACAGGGCTAAATCCCAAGAAAGAGGAGCTATGCAGGAAGATTCATGTACAGAGATGCTCACCCTATTATTGTTTATTTTAGTGAAAAGTAACCCAAATGCCAACCAGAGAAGAATAATTAGATTAAGGACCATTCATAAAATGAAGAGTACATAGCCAATATTATTATGGACAACACTCAATACAGTAGTGAGTAGAACAGAGAAGCATGTTGAAAATGATGCTTAAACTACATATCATGTGCATAGAGAGAAGGAAAACATTATATAGTTCTCAAGAATAGAAATTTAGGTGACTTTATTCTCTTTGTGCTTTCCCACTCTTTCTAAACTTTATAGTATATGCATGCTGTTACTGTTGTGATAAAAAGTTCACTGTAGAAAGCATTTATGCAAGTTAGGATTCAAATTTTCAAGAAACCACATCAGACATAGAATGCTTCTGCCTGATATAAGCATGGACCTGTGAGAGCCAGAACACATTTGTCCTCTAGTAATCAGTTTCCTTTCTGGAGCAACGTGAGGTGGCAGAAAATGAAACAACAGATTGTTTTCTGTGTTCAGTCCTCAAATTTGAGGGCAGAAAGCCAAATATTTCCTTCCCAGAGTTATGATTCACCAATGTAAAGTCTTGAGAACCAATACAACTGAATAAGAGCGATCACACTCTGAAACAGTATGTTGCTAAGATGTTTGAAATCCAATATATTAGAAACAAAATGCTGAATGTGTGTAAACCCATGTGCTCTTGAGCCTTTACGATGAACAAGATGCCAGATAAGCCCACAATTGTCATTGAAATCTGCATATACGTCAGTCAGCATAAAACATTATCTATACAGGTAACTGACTATGGACATCGCCAACCCTACCCACGGAAACAGGTAATTTTTTTCAGTGCAACACATTTTTACTTTTCAATATAACTCTTCAACACTTTTAGATAAAACACTCTTCTATGGTAGGTTAGAAACATTGACTTTTGAGGCTGGAGAGATGGCTCAGAGGTTATGAGCACTGACTACTCTTGTAGAAGAACCAGGTTTTGTTCCCAGCACCCATATGGCAGCTAACAATCATCTGTAACTCTAGTTCCAGGGGATCCGATGCCCTCTTCTGGGCTCCACAGGCATTGCACAACATGGATGCATTTACACACATGCAGGCAAGACATTCATATATTATCATAAAAATAAGTTTAAAACTTGAAAAAAGAAACATGAACTTTTTATGTAGAGAGTAATATATTTCATTTTTATACACAGTGACAAATTTAACTATATATGGCTTTATACAATGCACTAGTGACCAAGGTGAAACATTACAAAACTAGCTAAGTCATTAAAGCGAGTACCTTGAACACATCTGAAGTGGCTATTTATAGGAATGATATCTTGAACATGCTGTTCCTTCCCATGCAACTGGATTATTAACCTAGGAAACAGAAGAATGTATCAATGAAAGAGTGACTGAAAGATCCAAATCTTCAGCAACAAAATACCTTGCTGTCTTGCTATACAAATACAATCTGTGTTCATTCATTTATTTATTTTTTTGAAGAAGAGTTGGCCTTTATTAGTAGATACTTTGGGGGCTGGGGAGGTGGATCAGTTGTCAAAGTGCTTCGCATGTAAGTATCAGGACCTGAGTTCGAGCCTCAGAACTCAAGTAAGAAAGCCAAGCGTGATGGTGCCTGCTCGTAATCCTGATGCTGGGTAGTGGAGACAGAAGGATTCTTGGGCCTTGCTGACCAGCCTCCCTAGCAGAACTGGGGAGCTCTAAATCTGTGTTTATTAGACTTGTTGCATTTACTTCCCTGGAACTACAAGTATTATATAAAGTCCCCATGATCTGAGCATCATGACAGCTAGATATTACTTAAGGGCCTAAAAGATGATAGTGGTGATCAATATCTGAACAGCTAAGCAGCCCTATATGCATAGAGATTATATAATATTCTATGTCCTAAAAACTGTATACAGTCTTAAGAGCATGCATTCCAAATTACACACTTTAGTATGTAGATAAGAATGAAGAATTAATAGGTACATGTGAACTCCTTGATGACAGGGACTATGCTTCTCTTTTCGTCAGTATTTCTAGTGCCTAGCACAGAGCCTGACACATTACAGACGCTTATACGTACTGAATCAACAAAAGTTAGAAACTCCATTCATTAGATTTCAATTACATCGTCATGTGTTTTACCAAAGAAGGATTCTATCTCTTTCAAACATGCCTATAGGAGGAATAAGAATGGGTCATTGTTGGACTAATTAAAATAACCCCATAACCAAAAAGGTGGCAAACATCATGAGTGGGTTGCCTTCACAGCCTTTGTGCATCATTTCCAACTTCAGCCTGGTATTTTTGTGCAAACATGACTAAATGTCTTTCCAATATAAAATGCAAGATTTCTAAATCGACTTGTACTCATGATTGAAATACTAATTCTTAAGACAGGCTTTCACTATGTAGTTCAGGCTAGCCTGTAACTTACTATGTAGCTTAGGCTGACTTCTAATTCATGCTTCTTCTGTGTAGACTCCAGAGTGCAGACTGTACATTTACTCCACCCTACTGGACTCAATTTTTTAAAGACATCCTTAGTGACCCAAATCAAGGCATATAGTCTAATGGATAAACAGCTGCTCTAAACATCAACTAACTTCCCCATGTCAAGTACTCTTCAAGAACTGTGGGGTTTTTTAAACCTATTTTTCTCATGAGACCCTGTTCAAAAATCACCTCCTCTGTGGTGCCTTCTCCAAATATTCCCAAGTAGAACCAGTGGCTGTATCTTCTTAACCTGGCCCTCCAGCAGAACACCCAAACACTCTTATATTTATTTCCCCTCATTGATAGAACTCATTGAGAGCAAAGATTTTACTTAATTTTGTCTACAGCCTACTAGATGTTCTATAAATACTGGTTGAAGAAGTGAACCACCTTACACTGTAAGCAGCAGTGAACTGCTAAATACAACTTCAGATAATGACTTCAAAAACATCAATGCTTTTAAGCATTTGTTTTCTATTTTGTTGCCCTTTTCAGGGGTTGGATTTTATTCCTGGGATTTGTTTTCCAAAATATGCTAACTTTGAAGGGGATGATTTTGGGTACGTAACTGCTGAGATAAAAATACGGGAAATAAAGGTATTAATGCTATATTTCTGTTTAACTCTCACGTTTCCAATTTGCAGCAGCTTATATTTTAAGAGGATTGCAGGTATACTGGGCAGGCAGAACTTTCAAACTTGAAAGTTCATGAATTGACTAGAGAGCTCTATAAACCCAGATGGAGACTGGAAGTTAGATGACAAGGCTAGGAAGAAAGCAAGGGTCAGGAGGAAGAGTTTATTCTGAAGAAAACTAACACAAACCAGCATCATCTCAAACTATGCCGACTAGACATGGTCATTAGTAGTAAGGCAATTGGACTGTACTGTTAACCATCATAGGACAAACTGAGAATTTAAGGGAACCCCAGCAACATTTATGGACTGTACTATAATGTTAGTCACTAAAGACATTATATCAAAAGAATAAGGCTAGGAAGCATAAAAAAATCTATGTACACATAATTATTCATTTAAATATTTTACTTATTATTCTTATTTTATGTGTGTGAGTATATTGCTTGCATGTAGGAAGGTGCACCAGTGTTGTGCAATGCCTGTAGAGGTCAGAAGAAGGGTATCAGAACCCCTGGAACTGGAGTTACAGATGGTTGTTAGTTGCCATGTGGGTGCTGGGAACCAAACCTGGGTCCTCCGCAAGAGCAGTCAGTGCACTTAACTGCTGAGCCACCTCTCCAGCCCTCCCATAATTGTTTATTTAAACAGAGGAAGGTGAAACAAAGAAAACAAAACCAGAACGATTCTCTCAAATAAGTAAATAAAATATTTTAAAAATCTTAATATTTGATTCTGCCTCCCCAAAAGACCTTATTTTTAATTTTAATTTGGTCTCTCTCCTATGGTTGTTAGAACCATAGCGGCTTCAAAAGTCCTAAGACAAAAAGGCCAAAGGTAAAAAGTTCTGGGCACCCATGTCAGAGAAGACACTCAAGAGAAAAAACTTTGAGGATTATAGGTGGCATTAAAGTGGTAATGATTTCAAAAGAACCTTCTCTGTAATTCTGAATAACATTGCACAGGTTTGGATCTCAGCCATGCAACATTGTTGACTGAGAACAAGTAACTTCATCTCAATTTCTTTGTCTGTAAAGGAGCATGATGATGATGATGATGATGATGTTTTAAGGGCCAAGTGAACTGATTAATAATAAATGCTCAGAACAGTTATTAGACCATCAAACATTAGCTTATAATTTATATACAATAGAAGCATAAGAATTTAATTTCTACACGAGGATGATAGAGTCAATAGAACTACCCTTTCCAAGTATAAAAGGTCTAGACCATGAGCTTAGAATGGGGTACTTAGCCCAAGATGAGCTTATTAGTTGAATAGACAAGAGATTCTAAACCTACTAAACCAAGGGATCAGACCCCATATTGTGGTTATCCAATATAGCTATTCAATTCTCTTTGTTTTGACTGAAGAGGAAACCAAGGTACTGATTTGTGACTCTACTGGTTCCTGTAGATTACACCTCTCCACCCATTCTGACCTTTGGAAGTGGTAGTGACATTTCACTTTTCAATTCCTTTCTTTGTTGAATTTAGTTATATTAAACTAGTCTTCCTGGAGATTATGAAATCTGAGGAAAATAAAAAATTTCCCATACCAACAGAACTGTCCAGAGCAGCATCCAGGAAAGAGCACCTTCTAAAACTAGCTGACAATCAGTTCAGTGTCACCAATAGCCTCCATTAAGTTCAGGCCAGGCTAGTGGGACATTCTGTGTGAATTAACAGAAAGAAAGTGGATTTAAATGTACAGCCTCAAACAAACTGCTTTTATGTGGAATCTGATGTTAAGAGATGATAGGATTTAAGTGATCAACAAGTTTTAAATTAGGAAAAAACGGATCCCCAAAAAGCAGCGAGCCAAGGCAAGTGGCTCGTCCCCACAGGGATAGGGGATCATGATATATAATGGTCACTATGGATACTTTTAAGTTGAAGTTAAGTTAGTGGCAACAGAGGCAAGGTTAAAGAGATGACTTAACACAATCTTTTGCTCAATCAGTCAATAGCTCCTAAAGCCCAAGAAAGAGTGGGTGGTGACACATACTGAGAAAATGCCAAATGCCATTTTATTTCTATACATTTCATTAGCTTTTCTTTCCAACAGTCAAGTCCAGTGAGACAGTTCGTGGCCTCCACAAACGCATTACTGAATTAATGAAGATGCACACCTTCAAGCAAATGGCAAAAGAGGGTTGGGGACTGGAGGGACCAATCGAATAGGGATGAGAAAAGACAAGTCTTGTAACAACAGTGCAGCATTCCCATAGCACTTTTACTTTTTAATGCACTCTTACATTTCCGATTCCCCAGTTATACATCCAAAGGCCATAGGTGAGGCCCTTGATGTTTTTATTCAACTGCAGAGGAAATCAAGGCCCAGAGAGCCCTATTAATTTGTCCATGGTTACACAACACATGCCAGTTACAGGGTGCAGGAACTAAGAACCCAGGCTTCCTGCTTCCCTGCCCCACTGAGACCTTCCACTGAGACACACTGCCAGGAGCTACCTAGCAGCTTGGAAGCTGGGGGTGAAGCCCCATGGTTAGAAAGCGCTCACTCTTCACACCGGGTCATGAACCTGCTGCCCACTTGGCCAGGTGGGAGGAGGTAGACGTCTTGGGGCTCAGGGAGATTTATGGAAGAATCCTCTCTCCGCTGTGGGAAATCAGGTGGTTACTTACTCATACTGCCCGTTCCTCTGGGCTAGGGTCAGGGCGCAGGGCTCCCGGAGGGGACCCTTCATCTCCAAACCCTCCACAGTATGCAGCCGAAGGTCAAGGGTCTTTCTCTTTATTTATTATTTTTGGCAAACGCAGCCAGAGAGCAGCGACGCGGGGCCGGCGCACCCCAGCCGTCCTGCGTCTGCCCAGCTGCACCTCCCGAGCCGGCTCCTTCCCCGCCGACGCCTGCAGGGCCTTGCAGCACCCCGGCCCGCGCCCCCGGCCCGAGGCCTCCCTTCCCCCTTCCCCTTCCCTCCTCCTTAAGCGGATACAGCCACCGGCTGAGCTCCGATCGGGAGCCGCGGCTCCATCCGGGCGGCCTCCAGGCTCGGCGGGGCTGCGGACGGCCAGCGGATCTCACGACACCGCCTCTACGGCCTGCCGCCCTCCCGCCTCAGCTGTGCGGGGAGGAAAGGCTCCGGAGCCGGGAGCTGGGAGCCGGGAGCCGGGAGCTTGGGAACTGGGAGGAGAGAGTCTGACCCGAGAGAGAGCGGCGCCTCCAGCCCCCGCCCGCTCGCCAGGCCGCCGCAGATTCCGCCCCCTGCGACCAAGCTGGACTACTGCAGCCAGACACCCGAGCGACTCACGGCCTCATGCTTGTACATCCAGCAAGGAACAGGCATTAAAAAGCTGCCTGTGACACATCAGAAGGGGTGTGAGGACTTCGAAGACTGCCGCAGAGAAGAAACAGTCCTATCTGTAAGGGCGGCTTAAAAGAGCTGGGCCAATAGGACCCACAGTATGCTGTCAAAAACGAAATCCGTGAGGTTATGAAGCCCGAGTTGGTGCCCTTACTGTTTGGGTATCCTCTACTCCCACTTCTTTCTGCCATCTCCTAAATTGGAAAATTACCCACAGCTCATCCTTTCTCATCCTCTTCAGGCTACCTCTAGGCAGGCAAAGTCCAAGCATACATCTCTGGTTCAGGCCTCTTGCCTAATACAGCCTGTTGTGAAAACTCCACTCATCACTCAGCAACCTGGCCTGAAACCTCAAAGCCACATGCTCTCTGCCCTTCTCCTTATTCTGCATCCAATCAATTAACAAACCTTGTCAATATTTTCGTTGGAATGAATTTTCAAGTCCTTGTTTTTTGTCCTTTCATAGGGCCATCATTTTATAGCAAGCCTATTTGGGTTATAGCACTAGCCTCCAAAGAAATCCTGTTGGTTTTTATCTCTCCTTTAACTCTTTTACTCTGTTGGCAGCCATAAAAAGTACTACTACTGCTGACGGGCACATGCCTTTAATTCTAGCACTCAGGAGACAGAGGCAGGCGGATCTCTGAGATTTCAAGGCCAGCCTGGTCTACATAGTAAATTCCAGGCCTGGGGCTACAAAGAGACCCTGTCTCCAAAAAGACTAAAAAAAATACTACTGTTGTTTCAGTTAATGTTATTCATTTGCTCCAGAATCTACACTGGGCTAGATATCAAGACTGACTTTAAACTTTTATGCTAGTTAAGATGTTGCCGTCAGCACAGACCAATGAATAGAATACAGAGCCCCCAAACTGACTCACACATATATAGAAGAGTGATGCCAAGCATTTATGCTATTTCAAATCAGTGAATAGATTCAAATCAGTGAATAAATAACCCTCAAAATATTGATTTTTTTCTTTCCATATGAAAAATTATAAAATTAGATCCCTACATTACACCATACATTACATACCTGTGAGAAGCAAAACTTCACACTTTCAGAAGAAAGTGGGAGTATAGGGGCTTGGAACCACAGCCCGGCAATAATCCCACACTTAGCATGTACAAGGCACTGCAACCCCTGCATCAAAATTGTGATCTTAAACTAGATAATTAGAATGACACCTTTAGTCACATTACATCACACAGTGTATGTACTTTAAGGCAATATAGCTGGGACGTGGTGGTAGATGCCTGAAATTTAGTCTCCAGAGGTGGAGGCAGGTGGATGGGGACTTGGAGGCTAGTCTGGATTGCATAGCAAGTTCAAGGCCAGTTGGGGCTATATAATGAAAGCTTGTCTCAAAGAGAACAAGGGAATACACCTCAGCTTATGGTAAAATGCTTATTACCATGTGCCAAAGTCTGGGTTCAATACCCAGTAGTGTACACACACACACACACACACACACACACACACACACACACACACACAGAGGCAAACAAAAACCTAGTAGAAAATTTGACAAAATATATGAATAAATGATAAATTGCCAAGGAAACTTAAATGTTTGATAAAGATATGAAAAATTGCCTAACTTTATTACCATTCAGGGAACCTGAAAAACAAAACTATGAAATAGTATTTCACAACCATATGTTTAACAAAAATTTGAAAAGTCAGACAGCAGAAGTGTCTTTGAGGATATAGAACAGAAAGAACTTGGGTGGAACTTGAGCTAGAAGTGTTAAGTTGGTCAAACTGCTGTGAAGAGCAATTTGACAATGTCTAATAATGTGGAGAATGTACCCTCAACCCAGAAATTCCATTTGAGGCCCAGACCCTGGCAAAACTCTAATCTTTCAAGCCAGGTATGGTGGCGCACGCCTTTAATCCCAGCGCTTGGGAGGCAAAGGCAGGCGGATCTCTGTGAGTTTGAGGCCAGCCTAGTCTACATAGCGAGTTCCAGTCAGCTGAGGCTACAGGGACACCCTGTTTCAAAAAGACCAAAAAAATAAAACCCCAAAAGACCTCTAATCTTTCTGCACAAAAGAATAAATGAATAATACTCAGGGTTGCATTATTTGTAATCTAAAAAAATGGAAGCAAATCAAATGCCTGTTGGCAAGTGAATGGATAAATTATGGTACGCATGAAGGTAAATACTGTTTTGAAATTAAAATGAATTTGAGCTTTCAGTAGTAGCAGAATTAAATATCAAAACGATAACGCTGAACAAAAAGCAAATTGCAACACATATATTGTAGAATATTTATGTAAAGTGTGAAAATATCATCTGCTCATGACTTATCTAGATACAATACATGACAATAGTATAAACATGTAAATAATGAAATGGCATGATTGCCAAATTTAAGGGAGGAAGAGGATTGAGACAGGAGGAACACACAGTGACTATTAGCTCTACCAATCTGTATAATTTCTTTATCGCTTTTTGAGACATGATCTCACTTGTAGCCCTGGCTAGCTTGGAACTTACTATACAGACTAGGATGTCCTTGAACTTGTAGTAATCCTCCTGCCTCAGCTTCTCAAGTGCTGGGCTCGCAGGTGTATGCCCCCCGACACCTATTTTTTAAAGATTTTTTTTTTGTATGAATGTTTTCCCTGAATGTGTGTAGGTGCACCAACTGCATGCCTCATGCCTACAACAGCCAGAAGAGGGTGGTGTTGGGCCCTTCAGAGTCACAGAAGGTAGTGAGCCACTTGGTGGGTACTAGGGACTGAAACAAGGTCCTCTGCAAGAACAGCAAGTGCCCTTAACTGCTGAGCCATCTCTCCAGCCCCCACACATGGTTTTTAATATTTACTTCTTGAAATCTTGTGAAAATTGATGTTGTAAGATTAGTTGGAACTGGATGGTCGGTATGTATATTTTTTATTCATGTGTTTTCCTGCATTGGGAATCATTTGCAATCAATGAAAATGGAAAAAGGAACAATTTGTAGGGGAGGATTAGCAATAACAGATGGTAAAATTAGGCTACGTAAAATGAAAGCTAAGGGACTTTCTTTGGATATTCCAAGGAGGCCACTAGAGACCACCAAATCTGTGGTTTCAGTAAGAGGTGAGGGTAGAAACAAGGTTGCAGGGAATTCGAGGAGGGACTTGTGTCCTGAGAAAATGAAGACAAGAGACCAGGTGCTGAAGAGCTTTAGAAATCAAAAAGGGGAAAAGGGATTAAATTAGCTAAAAGGATAAAACATAGATTTTTTTTTTGGACAGAGTCTGAAGCTACTTTAAAGCAGAGGGAAAGGAGCATGAAATGGTCAAAAAGATTATATTCGCCTTCCCTTAGTCATTGGGAAGGGCAAGGATCCAAAATGAATCTGGAGGAATCAGCGTTGGAGAAAACGTGAGGCTCTCTTTCCTTCAAGTTTACAGTATCCTCAGCACCTAAAGCTTCCTGGCAGATGATAGTGGTTTTTGTGACAACTCTTTGATTGAAAAAGAAGAGATTGTATAGAAACTGAAGTATCATGACAGTAAAATCCAAGATCTGTCACAAAGGAAGTGATGACTGCATAGAAAAGACATTCACAGGCTGATGAGATGGCTCAGTGGGCAAAGAAACCTGACAACCAGCGTTCGATTCCTGGGGACACCCCCCCCCATGGTGGAAGGAGAGAACTCCTCCAAGTTCTTCTCTGACCGCCACACATGCGCTGTGACATGTGTTCCTCCTCCTAATAGATAAAAATGTAACAAAATTTTAAAAAAGACATTCAAGGACTGGGGATATAGCTCAGTGGTGAAGTGCTTGCCTAGCAAGTGGTGAGGCCCTGTTCATGTTTAATTCTTGTTATCACAATGCGAACAGTTAAATAACCATTAAACAACATTCAAACAAATGAATATATAGCTTCAAGGAAAGACAAATCTCATCATCATCCCATGCCACTGAGAGCTCAGCAAGTACCTTATATCTCATACACAATATCTATTATAACTTACAGGATTTTCAGAGACAAACCCAAAAGTTGAGGTCTTAGGTAGGGGTTGTAACTCAAAGGCACAATTCCTGGCTAACAAATGGAAGACCCTGGGTTCCATCCTTAGCATAGAAAAAGAAAATCAACACTTTTGAGATTTTAAGGGTGTAAAATACTAAATAAGGGACTGGAGAGATGGCTCAGCAGTTACAAGCACTGATTGCTCTTGTAGAGGACTGGGGTTCAATTCTCAGCACCCACATGGTTGCTAACAACTGCCTCTAACTCCAGTTCTAGGGGATCTGACGCCCTCTTCTGACCTCCGTGGGCATTGCACGACATGAGTGCACTTGCACACAGGCAGGCAATACAGTCATACACATAAAATAAAATAAATACTAAATGAAACCAGTAAATGGAAAAATGAAATAATTTAAGTAGCCACAAAATAGATGTTCTAGAAAGTTCATTAATTGTTAAATTTAATTCAAAACCCATTATATTTGTTTGTTTGCTGCAGTGCTAGGTGTTTTTCGCTTGCATGTGCTTGTCTAACCCTCTTACTAGCATTTGGTATATCCCTATCCCTAAAGCCCATGATATCTGAAAATTGTTTTTAGGTTGGATCTCCCTGCTATGCAAGGCTGTATAATTATTAGGGAGAAATCACAGCCATCATAAATTAAATTAGTTATGCACAGACAATTTCAAAAGCAAAATTACAAAAGCCCTTTCAAAAATTTATAGCAAAATATAAATGTTTAATGCAGGAGGGGACGCATTTTAATATGTTTAATTTGATGCTGGCTGAAGCTTCCACAAGTGAGAGTGCTTAGGGCCTGCAAAGGCTGAAACAGGCCTGCCTGGCACAGATGAGGCCAGGAGGGAAGATTTCATGTAGGTGAGTCAGCAGC